GCATTTCTTCCTTATATCTAATCTGAACCTACCGTCTTTTAGTTTAAAACCATTACCCCTTGTCCTATCACAACAGGCCTTGCTGAAAAATTTGTCCCCATCTTTCTCATCAGCCCCCTTTAAGTACGGAAAGGCCACAATAAGGTCTTCCCGAAACCTGCTCTTCCCCAGGCTGAACAACCCCAACTCTCTCAGTCTGGCCTCACAGGAGAGGTGCTCCAGCTCTCAGATCAATTTTTGTGGCCTCCTCTGGACCCACTCCAACAGGTCCATGTCTGTCCTGTGCTGAGGACCCCAGAGCTGGATGCAGGGCTGCAGGGGGGGGTCTCACCGGAGCGGGGCAGAATCCCCTCCCTTGCCCTGCTGGCCACGCTGCTGGGGATGCAGCCCCATGTTCATCAGTACCTGCTGCAGCTGGGCCCTAGGAGCTGTGGTGAGAAGATGAAGAAGTAGACACCGTACCACAAGGTGGGAGAGAGCCCTGCGTCCTTCCAGCCTGAGGCTCAGTGCTCATCACGCCTGTCCCAGCCGGGGAAGGGGAGCAGAGCCCTGGGAAGGCACCTCCATGCTTATTTGGACTCCCATGGGATACCTGTGGCCTGGAGTCACCGCACAACATCGAAAGGGGAAGAAACGGGGTTTTCTCTAGTCGCCCCTCCCCACCCCAACACATGATCACTGCCGGCACCTGGTTCCACCAAACCCAACCCAGCATAACGAGGGAAAATCAACCTTAACTCGTTAATCATCCTCAGCATCGCAACGCCAACAGCCCCCTCGGGCCGGAGCCTGTACCAGCTAGATGCTTAATTAATTCCGTGATTATTTTGGCTTTCCAAAAGGTGCCTTTGGAAAACACCAAATTTGTGTGTCCAGCAAACATCCGTAGATCTGAGGCCACGGGGGTGGCCACGCTGGCCGGAGGAAGGAGGCAGCTCAGCATCTGCAGTGGCTCAGCCGTCTCAGCATGGCCACAGGCAAGAGAACCAAGTCCTGCTAATAATTTAAGAGCATCCATTAATACAGTTTAATAAATACATAAAAGGATCAAATCTCTTTTTTTCCATCCACTTTCTAGCGTCAATGAAAGTTAAGGGTGATTGTCCCATGAGTAACTAAGGCAAATTTGTTTGTGTGTATGTGTGTGTTTCTCTCTCCTTTTTTGTTTTGATTTTTTTTTCCATTGTTTTGTACATAAAGCAATCACATAAAAATAGTTATAAATAGAAAAATTGCAAAGGTTTCCCCCCCCCCTAGACAAATAGGAAAAAACAACCCAACCAACCCAACAAACGAATCGAGACAGAAAAAACCACCTTGCTTCAAGTCCTGGTAGATTATACAGTACTCAGCATCTTTGGGTACTTTACAATGACTCCAAATCGTAGACAAAAAAACACCTGAAGTAACCAGTTGTCTGCAAAACATCGCTTGTGTAAGAAGTTGATACAGATTTAAAAAAAAAAAAAAGTTTGATGCAGTTTTAAGAAGTTTTGTTTTTTTTTTTGCCCCTCCATTGACTTGTTGCACGCGGAGTCTTTGTGGATTTCTTTTTGGAGGAGGAAGCGAGCGTTGGGCAGTTCCTTGAGATCGTTCTGCAATGGATGTTCTCAGAGCAGAAGGCCTTCATGCCCTCATGGGGGGGGTGTTGATCCTGGACCCCTTGTGTTCCCCCACCATGCTGTGGTGGGGACACCCTCATCCAGCCACCGCTTCAGAGCGGCACCATCAATGGGCAAACCAAAATATTAATGAACCCGCGGTCCTCTTGTTCCCTTTGATTCTGCTGACGTTGAAAGGTCACAGTAAAAAGAGAAAGAAAAAGCCCTAATTTGTAACATTTACATTTTTGAGAGCTGGTTTTGCATAAAACCAGTTTCCCAGGGCACCTGCTGCAAGCCATCTCAGCTGGTGGTGAAACTGGGGTCCCACCATGTCCGAGAGGAGCCCTCAGAGGCAGATGACCATCAAAAGCCTTTATTCTCGAGAGCAGCTCATGGTTTTAGGGGCTGAGGGAGGCTGACGGGGTGATTCCAGCCAAGCTGCCACTTTTTTGGCGTCAAAAGAAATATTAGATTGGGGTGGCCAGGCCAGGGTCTGCAGGGATGCTGGGGAGGCCCCCAGACCTGGTGGCCACCATGGGCAACCTTCGGCTTGGAGCACCCCATGATATGTGTCCGCCTCATCTTTTGAACCAACAAAATGGTGAAGAAATAGTATTTCTACTTGCTTGCAATTAGACAATCTCATCTGCAAGGCATCTTTGGTGGACTTCCTTTCCACAAAGATCCTTTGAGACAAGCAGCAGAGATATTTGCACACCCAATTTTTTTCCCGTCGACATTGCAGATTCGGGGACACTCAAGTGTTTTGTAAATTTTTGTCATCAAAATATATATAGGAATTAGGGGGAATTAAGGACACAAATCCAGACATTTCAGAACGGTCAGCGGCAGTGAATTCTGACTCTTTGGTTCGAAATGAATTTTTCATTTCAAAATTCCCACGTGGTTTATTTTCGCAGAGCAAGGGTTTAATAAAAGCTCAGGATGGAAACATTTCTGATCCTTCAAAAAATTTTCCTTCACCTTTTCAAGTAACTGAAGGTACAATACTCAAAAAAGGCTTTGGTTCTCCTTCTGAAATTTTGAAATGGCCAAAGAACCAAAACAAGTAAAAAACCCCTTTTCCACCCAGCTTTGCTCCTGAGTGATTTTCTATCTGTTTTTTTATTATTATTATTATTTTAGGGTCCCAACTCATCCTGCACTGCAGGGCTTTCACCAGCCCTGCAAATCTGATACACTGCTGAGAAAGGCAATGGCCGGGATCCTCCCCCTCCCAACGTGGCTGCTTGACTTTATCCCTTGTAGAATAAATTTTGTTGCCAGACGTGGGAATTAATTAAAAAAAAAAAAAACAAACAAAAAAGAAAGTCCTTTTGACCAAAAGGGCCAAGGAATGTGACATATCAAAACCAAGTCTGGA